ACTTGAAATGTCAATTTAAAATGGATTAGAGACAGCGGCGGTCTCTAGCGGGAAATAATATTATTTCTTGACATTATAAAATGCTGCCACAGCTTGTTTTGTAATTCAAAATGGCGGATGTAACCTAATGAATATTATTTTATCTAGTACCAAAATAAATTACAGCTTGATACCTTCACGCGTTCCTGAGAAAAGGATCTTGACAGAGATCCTAAAATGTACTTTTTGATACGGACATGGTTAACGGAGGCACGAAATATGCTTATTTCTCTTGACATTACATACAGCCACTCCAATTTTAATTAAATATTTTCATTAAAAGAAGTCAAAAGCATCTAAGTGTAGTTAAAAATATAACACAAAAGTTTTTATCCCCTTTAAGAATGTCTCCGTATTTTATCGTAGAACGAAAACAATAATTTGACTCAACTCTAAAGCTCATTACCCGCAAAGACTTCCGCTCTATAAGATGGCGGTGTTTCCGGCGCCGCGCACTCGATGTCTGTACCTCATCCGGAGCGGACGTGTCGAAAGACTCTACAGTCTAATTGGTGCTTTTGAATTGAGGATATTGTTAAGAAAGTTGTGGATAGCATATAGTTATTTTGTGGAAGATTCTTTTGTTTTACCGTAAAATTTATTTAATATATATTTATGAAATGATTTACACTTAATGTTTGATGATAGTTGGGTTTTATAGCGTTGGTGACTCTAGGGTTTTAACGCTTGACTTGTAATCTACAGGTCCTGGGTTCGAATCCCGCCATGTACCAATGTGTTACATATGTACATTTATACTATGTTGTTAGTGTGAAGGAAAACATAGTGATGCTGCACATATCTGTGAAATTCAAAAGATATGTGTGAAGTCAACCCGCACTTGCCAGCGTGGTTGACTATGACCTAGTCACCCTTAACTTTGGGTAAGCTCCGAGCCCCTCGGTGGGGACCTATAGTGAGCTGATGATAAATACAGCTTTAAGTAATTACGATTTAATGTGTTTGTTTATATAACCATTTTAATGATTGCCTTTTGCGGTGTTCTAACGTAAAAATTATTTTACGATTACTTGCACTTTATGTACGTTTTTGCGTATAAAACTTACGTCTCTTACACAGAAATATTCTTTTAGCTTCTAGAATTCTATTGCTGACATTTTAAATACTAATGCAGTACAAAATGATGGTTAACAATAGACGTGTTTAGTCAATATGTTCCGGCACCAAGAAACGTGCAGAATGCTTGGAAAAGCTTGTTCCGTTCTGATTTAAGCGCGCCTATTGTTATTCCTTTTTATGTCATAAGGTGGCAAACGAGCGAGCGGCCACTTGAAATCGCTGAAATAGCGAAGTAACCGTTGCCCATAGACATACGCAATTGCATATGCGTTGCCTTCCTTTAATCCACGGAGGAGAGGATGCACAGAAAGAAAATATTTTCCCTTTCCATGCATCCTCTCATCCGGAAAGTTCACTTCCACTTTCCATCGTTTCCCTATAAGAAGAACGATTGGAAGAGAAAGAGAACTAAATTAGTCCTCCGGGACGCACGCTTATCAGACTGTACGCGGAATTGCTTCCACTTGACGCCTGTCTTCTGTATGGTCGTGGTATTTCACCGGGCGAGCCGGGACAATTCGTGCGAAGATGTTAAAGCTCGCTCTACCACTGTTAAAAGTCCTGACAGTTAATTCGTTGTCATGTTATTAGTTCTAATCCTTACCGCCCCTACTCACTGTATCTGTCAGCGCAAAAATGGTGAAAATAAAATAGGCACAAAATATCACGGTTATAGCCTATCCATATATATAGGTCTGTTAAGACGTTCGAACGTTGTTAGAACGATATAGTAATTTAAAACTGGCAATTGCATTATTTTTTTTATTTACAAGGTTATAAATAATATAAACGAATAAATTAATCTATAATTAACTTCCAGATTTATTTCTTTTTTTTATTAAACGTACAACATTCCCAGTACAGTGAACTAAAAGCAATTAATATCAATAAAGGCATGTAATTAACAGCCCGCCATTACTCGCCAACAAGATGGCGTCGCTTCCGTGCACAGATAATTACTTAAATTAATTATAATACCAGTCTGTGATAGTCTGGAAATGTGTCACAGTCAAATTATAGATAGGCAAAGTTATCTGACCCGTGGACATAAATCAAACTAAATTACGACAGTATTCCCCTCTTTCTCTCTCCTCTCTTTTAATGTCAAAAAGCTTCAGAAGCTTCCTTTTCTTATTTTCTTACTGTAGCTGTCATGTCAGGATTTTTTCTTTTTTGCCTTTAGCTATGGCCATGTAGGTTTTATATATTTTCTGACAGTACTAACCACGACACTAGCGCCTCTTACCCAGATAATCTTGTCGCACTATAGCAAGATTTGAAACGATCCGATTTACGTTACATTTAACGGAGTATAAAAATTACGCAGAGTTAATTGAACATTATAAATTAAACTGTCGAAAGAGCTAAAAGAAGCTATATAATGACGAGTTTTGAACGACATTCTAATATTCCTACTAAATAGGTACTATATAAATGTCTTTTACTCTGTATTTCTTTCCTTGTAAAAAGAAAGCATCTTACGATATTTCAATCCATTTTCTTGTGAAAAAATAAGTCAGGATATTACATTTTCACGTACAAGATTCTAAAACGCCTTTTTGTTCTGTTGGTCTATATAACGCTATAGTCTGTGTGTTGAAGTGGTATCGATGGCTCCATTAGACGGCATTGTATGTCGGCCATCTTGACGGAAAGCGCGGGAAAGTATAGCAAATGGCGGACAAGTCTTTCTACTTCTAAAGCTATGAAATGGTTCTTTAGTTTATGTTTTCTTGAGAAATCTTAGGACATTTTTGAAGAGATTTACTACAAAAAAATGTAGAGAACATTTCAAAAAGAGACAGTGACAAATGTAATAGTGAGTTTAAGTCAGGGCTGTCCAAAATCAATAACCATTAACTTTTGAATATTATTAATTTTCAATTTATTTTTGTAATATTATAAATTAACAATATAGAATCCTGAATTTTATAGTTGGTTTTCACTGCTACTAAAGTTAAAAATAATTACAATATTATGCGAAACTTTAAATGTATTTCTGTTAAAAGGTATCTCCAGAAAGGCCATCGGATCTTGATGGAATTTAACACAGTAGAAACCCGTCTGGAAGAACGCTTACTTACTAAGTTTTGTAATTCCGCTCCTAAGAAGTCGCGGCCACAAATAATTGATAAAATATTTATGTTAGGTCTGCTACCCTTTAGGTATGGCCAACGACTTTGCCGGAATTTAAAATAAACTTAATAAGTAGCCTATGTTCTACATCTATGTCAAATTTCAGCGAGAGTCATGCAGTTGATCTGGAGATACCTTCTAATAAACATCCATTTAAACATTCGCATTTATAATATTAAGATTTCACTATCCTATATTCATAGATATTTATAATAACTTCCGCGTCCTTCAGCTATGGGCTATGAGATCGATAGACCAATGCTGCGCCACTCTACAACTTGTTAAATATTAATTACTAAGTCTGACATTGTAATGGCGTTTATTGGCCCAAAATAGTGCAACTAAGAAGCTTTCTTAGTAGATACGGTATTAGACATTTGTTATTTTAATGCGTACACGCATAATCTTGTTAATATTATAAATGCAAATGTTTAGATGGATGGATGTTAGAAGGTATCTCCATATCGGATGCATTGGTCGCTTAAATTTGACACAGATTTAGAACATAGTCTGGAAGAACACATAGGCCACTTACTATCGGACGGAGTATCGGGCGACAGCTAGTGATAATATACCTCTATGACATTGTATTGCGTAAGTCGCATAAAAATCACCGGATTTACGTAGTTTGGTGTACGAAGGTACTTAATGGACGAGCATTTGTGTAGATAAAAATGAGAAGAGCTTATATTATAATTTCCAGATCTTATTACCACATCCATTATAATAATTAATTTTACCACATCCACGGTTCCCGAGGAGTCGGCGCTCAATTTGTGAACGATATTAATTATTCAAGTGAAACGTATAGCGAACAATTTTGGACAGCCCTAGTTGCACGTTAGTTTAGTGTGGATATTTTAAAATACGTATTAATATTGTAATTAAATATTTAACTTTATTACTTTTATTCGTGTCAAGAAAAACAAATTATTATGATATTTTCTATGACGCTTTAAAAAAAAACAGGATTTAATTTTTAATCCAACGTCGAACATGACTTGTTAAAACAAAAAGCTTACGACTGAGTAAGTTGTATCTACATAATACTTTCGTATAGACAATCTGGTTCTACTTATTGCCATCTAATAAGTAGGATATCGCGTGCGAAACTGTACTACGAGTCGAGTACGACCACAGACATCGGGTTTATGTACAACTCTCAAGCTTTAGCCACCCAATATACTAAATTAAAAACTAAAATTAACTGCAGCTTTCAGTCTATTAGACACTAAGGACGACCGTTAATTAATATTTTATCGCTCACTTTGAGTGCGTTAATAAAAATTTTTATCACAATTTTTCTTTCCAAAAAATTGAGAAATACGTACACTTAAACTACCATATTGTATAATAAAAACCTATGTACTACTAAATACATATATTTTTCTATAAAATCATCTAACCAATCAATATAAGGCTTTTATTTACATGTGATTTAACGCCTGTACTTTCTAAATAGCAATTTTTAGTATCTATATAAAAAATACTTAGCTATTCAAGTATCGCAGGGTGCTGTAAAAATCCAAAGTAATTTTTATCTTAAATAAAATCAATTAACACAACATAAAATTACGCTCTTCAATAATTAATCAAATATCAAGTCTGTTCTAAAAGAACAACTCTGGGAATCTTTCTTTTATTAGAAATAAACTAACGCTTGACCACAATCCCATGTTAAAGGCCTCCACAGAAATACTGAGGTCGACAACTTGTTCCACGCCTAACATACTTTTATCTTTCAGGGACTTAAGCAGGAATGAACTGACAGCAATCAGTCGACGGACCTTCAGAGGTCTGACGTCACTCAAGAGTCTTCATCTTGACGGAAACCATCTCAAGTGTATTGATGACAAGGCATTGGAACATATGAAGAGTTTGGAAGTACTGTAAGTGGATTGGAAATTAAACAGATGACAATTTAGGATATTTACCCGGCAAACCGTTGGTTTCTGATACCATAATCTCTGTATGAAACATATCGTCGGGAATTTAGGTATCAGAAACCCACAATAACTTAGGTATAATGTTTTCCGCACGTACATATGTAATGTCTGTATGTCAATTTCATTGTGCCTTATCTGATCTGATCTTTATAAATGGATAGGCGATTACTTGAAAATGATAGCTTTTTCTTTGTTTCGATATAAACGCGCCTGTTGATGTTACGTGATGGTTAATTCTATCTATATTAGTAGTACTCATACACACCACCACAAAACACAACCATCAGCGCCAATATGGCGGAAATCAAATAGGCACAAAATACTACGCCTTATAGCCAGTCCATTTATAGAGGTCAGTGTTTATAAACGAATGAATCGATTTTGACGCGTAAATATTCGATTCGTTTGTTTTTTGTTTTTTTTTTTTAATTTTATATAGTGTTATAAGCCAGTGGTATTTCATTCAGCCAGGATTGTATAATAATAGATACGTCGCTTAATTAATGACTTAAGATTCCAATATTCCAGCACACTAAACAGCAATAATTTGACATATTTATCACTGGAGCCAGCATCAGTCGCGAGACTACACACGCTACGACTGACTGACAATCCTGTCGTGTGCGACTGTCGCGTCGCGCGTCTACTGGTCGCGTTACGCTCGTCGGCGTTCGTTGGAGTTGGAGCCAGGTATGTTATAGAAATAATTGTCTGATAATCAGCTCATATACGTATCCATTGTAGTCTTAAAAGCCTGCCTTGAATGCACACAAACATACATTGAAATTCATACCAGATATATGCAAATTAAATCACGCAAGTTTCCCGGCATAATTCCAGACATTTTGTAATGTCAAAAAGTATATTATAGCTATCGCCCGCGTCTTCGTCCGAGCGGGATAAAAAAAAGCTTAGTAGCCTATGTGTTCTTCCAGACTATGTTTGATATTTATGTCAAATATCAGCTATCTTTCTGTAGATATCTTCTAACAAACATACATCCAAACATTCGCATTTATAATATTAGTAAGAAGTTTTTGGACAAAAAGAACTGAAGTTGATGAATATTTTTCCAGATGCCAAGCCCCTGCGACCCTCAGAGGAGCCCTACTCACAGATTTAGAAGACAGTGACCTGATATGCAGTGGTGAGATTTAATTAATATTATACCAAATGTATCTTTGTTGTTTTAGGTGGTAAAACATTAAGAATAAGCCTTTGTTAATCACCTTTAATTTTGTTTACAAATCTCTTTTATCCTCCAGGTCCGATAGCTGTGACATCTGAGTGTTCCGCGGAGCCGCGCTGCCCACCTCCCTGTCGCTGCACAGCGGAGGGTACACTGGACTGTCGGGAGAAGTTGCTAGCAGAACTGCCAGCATCAATACCACATCGTACTGTTGAAATGTAAGAGGTCTAACAGTTGTAGACGCCAGCAACGACATCCTTTGAACTATAGTCTCAATTGGAAGCAATTCCAACTACAGTCTGATGAGTGTGCGAGCAAAGGACTCGTTTTACTCCTTTTTCCTTTCCTATCATTTTCTAATAAGGAAATGATGACAAGTGTAAATAGATTTGACGAAGGCCGTATAGGAAGGGAAAAGACTCTTTTTGTGCGTTTACTCCGTCGATTAAATGGAGGTTTATGGGCTAAGATCACATCGCCATTTCGGTAAATTCAGATGGCCTTTTGCATGTTTGCTACTTTGTAATATAAAAAGTAAAATGAGGAACTCTGGAATAGCTTAAATGTGTATTTCCAGACGTCTAGAACAGAACGAGATAACAGAAGTGGGTGCGGGCGCGTTCGTCGCTATCAAAGTGGTGGCGCGCATCGACTTGTCAAACAATAAGATTGTCAAAATCGCTGCAGACGCCTTCAATGGACTCACCAGACTTACCTCATTGTATGTACAAGTAATATTGAAAAAAAATATTATTAACGCTACAGCTATAGGCTATAGATCACAAGGCAATTTACGTATATACATATCCAAACACACGACACGACACGACACAACATGTCAAGACACGACATGATACGACATAACTATATTTGACATAATTATATTCAAGGAAAGAGTTACATGAGACCCATATTAAAATCAAAATTGTTTCGTTAGTTTATTTGTTTGCGTAATATTGTTCACTTTATTTGCAGAGTACTTTACGGCAATAAAATAAAAGATCTTCCAGCAGGAATATTCCACGGACTGTCATCTTTGCAACTATTGTAAGTATTTCTAGTGCGCAATATTTATTTCAAATAACACGATAATTCCTACGCATAGCGTTGCCAGGCGTCCGGATAAAGCCGGACATAGGCAGCCTTTTGGTTTGAATGTCCGGCCGAAATAAACGGTGTCCGGATTGTCCGACTTTTATTATGACCTGGCAACTTTAGCCACGCATATGATTCTTAACTAAAAATATTTCCATTGAACCATTTTAAGTTAAAACTAAGTTTATATAATTCCAGTCCAGTGATATTAGTGCTGGATTATAACTGGAAATATGCGAACATACTGGAATGCACAGGGTGTCTGTCCTGGCTTAGGTCACATTCACGACAGTGTTGGATTCGAATCCAAGATTATGTGAACGACAGTACGTACTCTTAAAGAGATATTGGTTGTTGAAATGATAAAGCATTTTTTATTTATATTATGTTATTTTCTTGCAGATTATTAAATTCAAATGAGATTTCGTGCATAAGAAAGGATACTTTTAGAGATCTACAGAGTTTAAAATTATTGTAAGTAAAAATTTAATTTAGTGCTAAACATTTTTATATCGTAGTTTTTAACAAAATAAATACTAAACTCTATAAATGGACAGGCGATTGAATGGTGATTATAGCTTTTGCTTCGTTCCATAAACACGTATGTTGTTGTTACGTGACAGTTAATTCTATCAATATTATTAGTTCCTATCCACACCATCATCCATCCAAACCACTAACATCAGCACCAAAATGGTGGAATACAAGAAGGCACAAAATACTTCGTCTTATAGCCAGTCCATTTATAGAGTAAAAACGAAAATGGCCGTCACGTGTGACACTCCTTTTTAAAAGAAATTACACGAAGATTATAAAACTTTAATAAAAATTAACTGCAATTATAGAAATTAGTAATATTTTTTTTCTTTCAGATCTCTGTACGATAACAATATAAGATCGATACCGAATGGCACTTTTGATTCGTTAACTGGAATACAGACATTGTAAGTTAATTTTAATTTCATCTTTAATCTATTTGAAATAAAGTAGCGAAATAAATTAACTAATTTTACAATTGAAATTCGCGCCATCTAGTTTAAAAATTGTGAAAGACGATTAAAAATAAAGTTGCAGATTTTTAATTTCATAAATACGCTAACCATTCTGACACTTAAATCTCTGCATAAAACTTATCGTTATATCTTTTAAACGGAGATTTTGGATTAAGAAACTCTCGGTTATACTTCTAAAATAAGCTTTATTTCTTAGACATTTAGGTCGTAATCCCTTCACTTGTGATTGTGCGTTACGCTGGCTGGCGGCTTACCTACGTAAGAATCCTATAGAGACGTCAGGAGCTAAATGCGACTCTCCCAAACGACTCGCCCGCAAGAGAATAGACGCATTACGAGATGAAAACTTTAAATGCAAACGTAAGTGCTATGAAATAGAGTTAATTTTAAATTAAAGTTTTATACGTGATTTCTGTCCATTTGTATGCAATTTAATATAACGCCATCTATTGTGACTATGAAGAAATGTCATCTGTCAAAAGTTTTTATTCGCTCTTGCCCTCTATCTCTTAAATTTTACCGTAATATCTCTCTGTCTTTGTCAAAGAGTATGACAAGGACGGCAATATGTATTAAAATGTTTTCAATTCCAAAATTACTATTTAATTACAGCTGGAGAAGAGACAGAAGGTGATAGAAGTTCGTGTGGCGCCACTGGCGCGTGTCCCGCCGCGTGCGCGTGCGAGTGGGATGCTAGAGGAGTGCGTGTCGCGTGTGCTAGAGCGGGACAGAATGATGTGCCACGAGACTTGCCTATGGCCACGCACGCATTGTAAGTTACTAAAACTTTGACCTTTTACGAACTATATTTGGAAAAGTTTAATTAAAATCTATTTATTTATTTCAGATTAATGTCAGACAATAATCTAAGGCAGATCAAATCGGATGGTCTCTTCGGAAGACTACCGGATCTTAACAAACTGGACTTCCGTAATAATGGTTAGAAATTATAATAAGATCTCTAATATTTATTAATTTTGTTTACTTCGACTTGGAATGTTTGTCACGTATAAGTGACTTTGGCGTTCAAAAGGTTAAAAGATGTCTCGCTCACACATATGTTATTCTTCCAGGTATAACAGAGATAGAAGACAACGCGTTCGACGGCGCTGCCAACATGCAGGAGTTATTGTTAGACGGCAACCATCTAGCAACCGTTACTGACAAAATGTTCTTCGGCTTACACAGCCTTGTCACATTGTACGTAAATCTTACTTCTTACTAATATTATAAATGCGAATGTTTAGATGAATGTTGGAATATATCTCCAGAACTGCTCAACGGATGGTGTTGAAATTTGTCATATATGTAGAATATAATCTGGAAAAACACATAGCCTACTTATTATGTTTTTTTTTTAATTTGGCACGGACGGAGTTGCAAGCGACAGCTAGTACAAGATACATATGTCCGGAAATATACGAATAATTAATTTGATCGATAGAGGGCTTCATAATATTTTTTATATTTTCTTAAATATTTCTTCTGGGTCATAATTAGATATTTTTCTTTTAGGTCCTTAGCTGATAATAAAATTAGATGCATCACACCTGGAGCATTCGATCATCTTAATTTGCTGAAAACTCTGTAAGTTGAAAAAAAATAACCTAATGTCGTGGACAGTTTGGTCAGAGTTGTTGACATATATATGTTGGTCCTTAGCACACTCTCCGGCAACCCGATCCACTGCAGTTGCCATGTCGGCTGGCTGGCGAGCTGGCTCCGCACGCGCCGGCTCGCCCCCGGCGCCGCATGCGCCTCGCCTGACAACCTGCGCGGCGCAAACATACCGCATCTTGAACTTACCGATTTTAAATGCACAGGTAAGTATCTAGAGTTTGAAAAACACTATTTTTTACTGTCTAATGTTTGGATGAATGGATGTTTGTTCAATTGTTTAACGAATTTCAGTATTTCTTAAAGACTTTGTTTAATGTTTGTTACAGCGCCATATATTGCAAGATGGTAATAAAAATAAACAAAGACTTGTATTTGTGTTGTAGGTGAGGACAAGGGGTGCTTGTCGGCGGAGTACTGCCCCGCGGCGTGCGCGTGCGCCGGCACTGTGGTGCGCTGCGCACGCGCACAGCTCACTGCGCTGCCGCACAACATACCCAGACAAACTACTGAACTGTGAGTACTATAGTTAAGAAATAATGATATTATCTTACATATTTACTTATATTATAAAGATGGACGATTTAATTCTTTGTTTGCTTGCATAAAATTAACTTCCCTTACACTATACCCGGGTGACAGACTAAATTTTTTACTAAATTTATTTTTTAATTCCTTGTAGACGAAGTCGTGGACATGACATGCCATAGTCAATTTTACTTAGTAAGTTAAAAGAAATAATAACTTTATCATTTAGGTATTTGGAATCAAATGAGATCACAAGCCTCGAGCCGGAACAAATCCGTCACCTCACACAGCTGACACGTCTCGACCTCTCCAACAACAAGATAGATGTACTCCACAATAATACTTTTGACGGTCTCACCAAGTTGTCTACGCTGATAGTCAGTTACAACAGACTGAGATGTGTACAGGTTAGTTTACTCAACATACTATACACACACATGCATTTCATAGCAAATGTGTACAGCATATTTCCATCACCGTAAGACCGGCAAAAGAATCTTATAAATACCAATGTTAAGATGGATGTTCGTTAGAAGGTATCTCCGGAACGGATCAACGGATCTCTCTGGAATGTATATAGATGTAGAACGTAGTCTGGAAGAACACATAGTCTACTAATTCAGTTTTTTTTTTAATTCCGCGTGGACGGAGTAGCGGGCAACCGCTAGTCTTACATATAAAATTTTCGTGTCCTCATCCGAAACGAATTGTTAGATATTTATTAAATTTTATATGAATATTCAGTAGCACTGAGAAACAGATACTATTAATCGTTTAATCCCGCGCGGACGGAGTCGCGGGTGACAACTACTTACAGACAAAATTCCATAAACATGTTAGTAAATGGCGTGGATTAAATTCGACCTAAACAAGTTTTGACCACTCCGCCATCATTTACATGTAGTTTAAGCTGGTTTTATCCTTTAGATCGTAGTGAATTTATATTTCAATTAACTTTTCTTTACCAGAGGGACGCTCTCAAAGGGCTGACACAACTCCGGGTGCTGTCACTGCACGGCAATAACATCTCAATGTTGTCTGACGGCGTCTTCAGGGATCTCGAGTCCATCTCTCATGTGTAAGTGTTGCATTTCTATGTATAAATATATACAACAGGTGAAGTTAACCATTTACTTTATCTTTTTATAACCTTTATTAACGTAATAAATAACATTTATTTGTTTATTAAATCGAAGCACAGTAATAGTGAAATATAATAAAACTCGATAGATGGCGCTGTTACTAGTACACGACTCCTATATTTAGTTCTTAAAGAAACCCGGTAGATGACGCTGTTTTAAGTTGATGTCTACTTTGCTTAGTTGATACAAAAGTCGGTAGATGGAGATGTAACTAACTGACATCATCTACTTTTAGTTCATAAAGAAGTCCGATAGATGGCGTTGTATTTATTTAATATTAACTCGAGCCATAATCTATTGCAGTGCTCTGGGATCAAACCCGCTATACTGCGATTGTAACACGCGCTGGCTGTCGGAGTGGGTGAAGAGCGCTGGCGAGTATGTGGAGGCGGGCATCGCTAAGTGCGCGGAGCCGGCGCGCATGCGCGACAAACTCGTGCTCAGCACTGCTTCTAGTGCCTTCGTCTGTACAGGTATACACAACTAGAGTTCCAGTCTTCGATCATTCCATCTTTTATTCACTAAGTCATTGGTTATTCCTTTAGCTATACGATGAGAGAGCCGCGCTACTGTGGTTGATGTTTTGGTCTTTTAGGGGCGCTTAAGTGTAATATAATTTAGTTTGACTTATACCCACCGGGTCAGATGAGTCTGTCGGTCAACACTCAGTTATTAATTCAACAGAGAAGGCACCCAGTGACGTTGTATCAAAGTGCGATCGTTGTGTGCGGTCTCCGTGTGCCAACGGCGGTACATGCAGTGCGACACGTGGTGGGTTCTCATGCGCGTGTGCACGCGGCTTCCATGGCGAGACTTGTCAGCAACGCATCGACGCGTGCTACGGCGCTCCATGTCGACATGGCACCTGTACTTTATTGGAGGAAGGACGGTTCCAGTATGTACATATAGTTGCGACCCCCTAACTAAAAGCAAAGTAAATAAAGTGCCCATGCCTTATATCGTCCTGTTTCTTAGTAAAGTTGGCAATATCTTCGTAACTTCTAATACTTCCAGCTTCCAGATGTCCAGTTCGTAAGCCCCACTTTATTAATTGCATACCCTCTACTCTTGAAGGACCCTCTAACATACTAAGACGAAGTTTGGTCAATTTTTGAAGGCTATTGTTATTCATTTAGCTGTTCGTGTGAGGCGGGCTACACTGGTGTACGTTGCGAGGTGGACATCGACGACTGCGCAGGTCACAAATGTCAGAACAACGCGACTTGTCTCGACCACCTGGAGGGTTACTCCTGTAAATGTTCACCTGGATACATGGGTCAGTATATATTTTGAAGAACACCCTTCTTTTAATTTTGAAATTAACAACGAAGAATCGACCAGTTTATTTCGCTAAAATAGTGACGGAATTGACCATAGATCTTTGCAACAATCTTCGTAGAAGATATCTGCTTTACGTCTCTAGCTAAGACAACTTCCACTTCCTATCCTTCCTTTTTGAATTAGAACCTTCGTGTCTTCTATAAGTCTTTCTGATATCTGTGGTTTTATATCCAGGTGAGTTCTGCGAGACGAAGATACCGTTCTGCAGCGCGGAGTTCAACCCGTGTGAGAACGGTGCGAGCTGTGTGGACCACGGCAGCCATTACACGTGCAGCTGTCCGCGCGGGTACGCCGGCGTCAACTGCACCATCAACCCTGATGATTGCCTCGACCACATGTGTCAGGTGAACCTCACAATCTCATACATTCATTCACACAATTACACTCATCATTTAACTGATTCCAATCCAAGTAAACTTATTAATATTATAAATGCGAATGTTTAGATGAATGGATGTTTATTGGAATGTATCTCCAGAACACTTCGACGGATTACATAGATGTAGAACATAGTCGGAAAGAACACGTAAGCTTCTAATTATTATTGCTTATTGCCCGCGGACGGAGTCGCGGACAACAGATAGTCTATACATATTAATAAAACTGGAGTGTCTGTTCGCAAGTCTCGTTTGTTCCGTTTAATCGCCGGAACGTGTGGACCGATTTTGACGAGACTTTGATTGGAAAGAAGCTGATGCACGCGGGCATATAAGACTATACAATGTAAGGTACGTGTGTACAGAACGGCGCGACATGTATCGACGGTCTGGAGGAGTACCGGTGCGCGTGTGCGGCGGGGTACGCGGGCCGGTACTGCGAGGCGGCACCGCACGCCGCGCTCGGCACCTCGCCCTGCGCACACCACGACTGTGTGCACGGAGTCTGCTACCTGCCCGCACCTGCGCCCGCGCAGCCTGCCGCTGTACAGGTACAAAACTTCACTACTGATTTTTATCAATTTGTTTATGTCTACACTACAGTTGGAACCCACCATTTAATTTACAATGTTGTGTGATTTTACAGATTCAAAAACTATTATTTTAGTCAATTCAAGAGTAGAGTTCCCAACAGCTTTTTAAAATTGAATCCACTTTCTTGTTTGCCACGTTCTAACATATAAATTCATATCTTTTTAAATCCTCGAAAATGTGTTGGTCCTTCGAGTCGGATACAAACTTAGTTATTACTACTAGAAACGTAATTAAGAATTAGTAATTTCTCAGGATGACATAATGATGGAGCGGCCGCTACTCGGAGCTACAAATGACTATCTTTGTAAATGCGCACCAGGATACTCAGGTTAGTTACAATTTCATAAACTTGTCACTACTCAGTAGAAAAAATATTAAAATGCAGCCATTTTTGACTCGGTTCAGGTCATCCTTAGGAATATATTATTTATAAAAGCCATGGCATAAACTAAAGAACCCTTTCAAAGATATCTCCTTTAAAGATAAGTCGAAATAAATAAAATAACTAATTATTGGTTTCCGAGATCCAAAAAAATATTGATCTTAGAAACCCACGGTTAATTCATAATAGGGCCATTTATTTTAAAGGTAACATCTTAAACTTTATGCCTTATAGGTTCTAGTGAATCCTGTTAATATTGTTTTCCCTCCAGGTCGTCTCTGCGAGTACCTCACCTCTCTCACGTTCAATCACAACGACTCTCTAGTGGAGTTAGAGCCGTTGAGAACTTCACCACAGGCTAATGTCACTCTAGGTTAGTATTTGAATCTACATTCATTGCCCCAAAATAGGTTACCGGCAGAGTTTCTGTTCAATTACGTGAATATTTAATAGTTTGGTCGAAAAGACACTTAATAAACTGCGAACTATCCATTGATTTACCACGGCAGCTAAACTTTATACGTTTTTAAATTACTGCCTTGAAATTATTTACGTATTAACAATATTATTTACACCAAATTTTATTCACTAGGACACTGTTTACTATATCTCGTTGTTTTTTTTCACTTCCCGCGTAATTCTCCAATTTCTTTCACTTATCTTTTTCTAAATGAAAAAGGCAAAGGTATTTTGTCCAGTATGCCACATTGGCTGAATCTTCTTTGTGTACCAAAGACAAAATACTTAATTATTAATTTCAACGGTTAAACACTAGTTCAATATTATATATTAAAAAAAAACAGAATATATTATAATATTTTTTTTTACTTTACTTTTTTATAATTGTGGGAAATTGACGAGACTTTGTACCCTAAGCTAGTATTTGCTATTTGCTGTAAACTCTACCATTGCTTAAAATTCTAGTCTTTCTTGTTCAGTGTTCAGCACGACTCAGCATCACGGTGTATTACTGTATTTCGGAGACAGCGAACATCTTGCAGTGGAGCTGTTCAACGGTAGAATCCGGATCAGCTACGACGTAGGAAACCATCCCACATCGACTATGTACAGGTTGGTAACACTGACTTTTATATATGGACAGGCTATACGCTATGTTATTTTGTGCCTATTTGATTATCGCCATTTTGGCGCTGCTGGTTGTGGTTGGTAGCGGTGGTGAGTATTTGAACTAATATAACTGTCAGCGATATCAAAATACGCGTGACCTGCTGGACATAACTGAAATTAAATTATATAGCTCACTAACGCCCTCCTCTCAATATAAATGCATCAGGATTATTAACGTAATGTCTTCATCTTGTCTTTAGTGATTGCCTTACGTACTATATAAAATTAAGTTTTACGTATCTTCTGACAGGACCAATCACGATGAATGCGTCTTTCACCAAAACAGATAAAAATGTCCTCCAACTATTACTACAATAATCTTACGTAAATACCTCTGTTATTGTTATCTTTACTTTTTTTATTTATTTATTTAACAACACAATGTTGAATACAAATAAACATATATTTTATCATCATCAGCTCACTATACGTCCCCACTGAGGGGCTCGGAGCCTACCCTAAGTTATGTGACTAGGTCATAGTCAACCACGCTGGTCAAGTGCAGTGACTTCACACATATCTTTGAATTACTTCTCAGATATGTGCAGCATCACGATGTTTTCCTTCATCGTAAGAACGTCGGATAAATGTACATATGTAAATCGGAAATGAAAAAACACAATGGTACATGGCGGGATTCGAACCCAGGACCTGCAGATTGCAAGTCGAGTGCTTGACCCCTGAGTCACCGACGCTCTTTACACATATATTTAACGCTAAATAAACCTCATTGGTTTGGAAGCGAAAGTCTTTTGATGTAATTAATATTTATTACAGTTTCGAAATGGTATCCGACGGGTCTTACCACAAGGCCGAACTTCTCGCTGTCAAGAAGAACTTCACGTTAAAAGTAGACGATGGACCAGCCAGGTCTATCATCAATGAAGGTACACTGAATTACTACAAACATGAGCTTCTAAGTTGTTATGCCTTCATGCAAGCAAAACTTGTTAACTTTTTTATATCATAACTAACTGTCGCCCGCGACTTCGTCCGCTCGAAATTAAAAAACGTAATAAGTAGCCTATGTGTTCTTCCAGACTATGTATGTATACCAAATTTCAGCGAGATCCATTCAGCCGTTTTGGAGATACTTTCCAACATCTATCCATCTAAACATTCGCATTTATAATATTAGAAGAAATCGCTGAAATAGCGAAGCGATTGCCCATAGACATACGCAATTAATGCGTTGCCTACCTTTAATCAACGGAGAAGAGAATGCACAGAAAGAGAATATTTTCCCTTCCCATGCATCCCCTCATCCGGAAAAACCACTTCTAATTCCCGCCCTTTACTTATAAAATAAAGGGTGGGAAGGGAAAGAGGACTAGAATTAGGCCTCCGGGACAGACTGTAGTTGGAATAGCTTCCACTTGACGCGTGTCTTCTGTGTGGTCGTGGTATTGCACTGGGTGAAGGCAACGAAGAAGATGTTAAAGTAGAGCCATACTTATTGTTATTTGCAGGCACCAAGGAGTATTTACGTCTGGACAGGCCAATGTTCCTCGGCGGAGTACCTGAAGACGTCGCCAAGGAGGCTTTTAGTAAATGGCATTTGCGAAACATCACCAGTTTTAAAGGTACATACAAAGGAAAAGGACAGCAGATACAACAGCTTTGTAAGAAAAGGATGAAAGAACAAGCAAATTACACTTAAATTTAGCTGTGTTGTAAACTACATCTATCACTTTCTTTCTTATATAGTATACTATCATTCTATCTCCCTCTATGTAACCTTGACACTTGTAGGAGTGTCGTGTAACTTCGAATTTAAAATTATGTCAGGTTGTCTGAAGGAGGCATGGATCAACCACAAGCGTGTGGACTTCGTGAACGCGGCGCGCACACTGCGCACTGTGGCGGGCTGCGGGGGGGACGACCCGCCCCCCGCACCACCCTCACACGCCCTGCAGGAGGACGGCGCACACAAACCGGTCAGACATACATACATTGTATTATAAGATTGTATGGATGGATTAAATGATAGAGAAAGACCGAAAAAAGTATTTATGTATTGTAAGAAATATTTCAAACATGATGTATAAAGTTGTATGGATAAAGAATCGATTTTGACGAGTGAGATATCATTCGATTCGTGTTCGTTTATAAATAACTAGCTATCGCACGCGCGTCCATCCTCGTGGAATTAAAAAAAAACATAATTAGTAGTCTATGACAAATTTCAGCAAGATCCGTGCAGCCGTACTGGAGATACCTTCACATAAACATCCATCCATCGATCTTAACATTCGCATTTATAATATTAGTAAGATTCACAATTAAATGGTCACCTACAGGACCCCTGTGTGCCGAACCCGTGTGCCCGCGGGGGGCGCTGCGTGCGCGAAGAGGGGTCTGCCTCTGACTACACGTGCAAGTGTCGCGCCGGCACCGCGGGCGCGCAGTGTGAACTGCGCACTGGCATTGGTACACACAAATACACTATTACACCAACGTTACACGACCTAGCACCATCGAAACACGCTCTTGCACCATCGAAACACACTTACACCAACGTTACACGACCTAGCACCATCGAAACACGAACTAGCACCATCTAAACACGCCCTTGCACCAATGAAACACGCCCCTGCACCAATGAAACATGCCCTTGCACCAACTAAACACGCCCTAGCATCATCGATACCCACTGAATCAACGAAACACATCTTTGCACCAACGAAACTCACCACAGTACCAATGACATCGTCTTTAATTTGATACAATCTCTTACCACCAGGTGGCGCGCCCAGCATCGCTCTGAACAAACCGCCAACTCGCAAAATGATTAGCAACGTGCAAGCATCGCCAGGTAATTTTTCTAGACTTTACTCATATATCCTAGACCTATGTGTTCCTAGATGTAGTATAAGGACGTATGTACATAATTTATTTATCCTTATCCTCCTTGGGTTGAACTTTGAATAAAAATTTTATTTACCACCAATCAGCTTTACAAAAACGTTACTAACTGTGGGTTTCCGAGACCTAAATCCATGTTTTAAACATATTGCTATATCTATTTTGTTAGAATCTCAGAAGCCCACGATCAGTTTGTTTTATATACACTTCGGTATAAAATCACATTAAATATTTTCAAATATTATACCAACATAATGATATTATATTATTTCCACGCTATAACAAAAGGTCCATTTGAACGAAGACGAAACACAGCAAGAACTATTGCAGGTATAAATTATTTTTAGTTTTGTAGTTAGTTTAAATGAACACAATAATAAAATAACTACGACAAAATTGTTTATTGTATTCCTAACCAGCTGTCAACCACGATTCAGTCAGCGCGGAATTAACTAAAACTAAATTAGTAGTCTGTGTTCTTCCAGACTATGTTCTACATCTATACCAAATTTCATCAAGATCCATGCAACAGTTCTGAAGATATCTTCTTACAAACATACATCTAAACATTCACATTTATAATATGAAAACATGATTTATAAAGATTTATAAATTTTACATACAGATGACAAAGCAATATTTTTTGTGGACACTGTTGAAGAGACATTGAACGCAGCAGATTTTGATGGACCCTGTAAAGTATCAAAGTATATAAAAACACTAACTTTAGAGACCTCTAAACTTATAAACTCTAAGGTCACTAAAGAACTGTGCTAATGTATAACAGAGTTAAACAACTCTGAGTATGCAGTAATAATACTAATAAAGTAACGCACACAACGAACATTCATAATTATAATAAATCATTTGGCGCGAATGACGCGCTCCCGTTACCACGTCAAGTGTCAGAATGATTAGTGAGGGGACATAAACGTTGATATTTTAATAAGGCTAGTGTTGCGCCATTACATCGGTACGATGTCGGATTTTCTTCCTAATGCTTAGAGAATTTGTTTTATTTAGCTAGTAAACATTTTAAATCAAATACGCTTGTACAAAACACAATAAGATTTAGTCTTGGCCCCATTAACTAGGACAAGAATCGACTATACTTAACCAAGGTAAAGGCTAAAAATCACGTAAAAATACGACAGTGATATGTAAATAAAAAAAAAAGTTTTTAACCTGATGTTTTTTCTACCGAGATCCAAAAATCATAGATTAAACTTTAGATGGATTGTTTCATACGAGTTTGACGTAATCGAGTATCGATTTTCTAAATGTCATTTTATAAATAGCAACACCGAGGGAATTAACCTTAACAAAAAAGTCTCTGGAAACATTTTAGCGCCATTTTGATACAATCTATTAGTTATTTATAGGTTATTTGATTTTATAAACATTGTACGTTCGTTAATAGAAATCTACGGCAATAAAGTTAACATGAAAAAAATCTGATGAATTTAATTTTTATCCTACAGCGTTAGGCGGCAGGTCATTGGTGCCAAGAGCTGGTGATATCCTTTGCTCATCATCAGACATTAATACGATGGATCATAACGATATTCTCAAATGTATAAAGAAATTAATACTAAAAAGCAAACAAATACGAAATAATATTACAAAATGTTAGTACATTTTAAATTATAAAAGATTATGTTAACAAAAATCGTGCACCTGTCACTCAAAGTAGGTTAGGTTTTGGCACAGTTTTGGCACATCTTTACTCATCTTGGTCCTCGTAATGGGTTACTTTATTATGTCTATATTTTAATACTAGCTGTCGCCCGCGAGTCTGCACGGAATTAAGAAAAACTTAATAGTAGCATATGTCTTCTTCCAGACTATGTTCTACATCTATGACAAATTTCATCAAAATCCGTTAAGTCGTTCCGGAGATACATTCAAACATTCACATTTATAATATTAGTAAGATTATATTCTTTGTTTTGAGTTTCGGATAACGCGTAAGATAAATGTTACCAGTAAATTACGAGCCGCAGTAAAATTAACTAATAAATTAAACATTCTTAAGGTTTTAGGCTATCGTCCTGGTTAATTTGATGTTATATTTCTTAGAAGTAAATAACAATTTTTATTGTAATATTATTTAATTACTTATTATGTCTTTGTATAATTATTATCTGTAATGCAGACCAAAAATTAATAATATTTCAATAGTTTAGTACTAACAGTATTCGTGTTTATGGCCATCTATGGAATAAAAAAAAATAAATTGGCCTCTACCGTTGGCGTCAGAGACGAAAATCTCTGTATAAAACATATCATTCCCGTATAAAATATATCTTCGACATAGAGATAACATTATATAGAGATTTTAGTCTCTGAAAAATAAACTTATAAGGGTTAATTAAATATTTTTATTACAGCTTCTCCGGCCCATAAGCAGATATCCAGTGAACAGTCCCCCACGCAGACTTCGCCCGCGCCCGGCGGCTGTCGAAAGGTGACACAACTCTTAACTAAATCAAAGCACACCCCACTTGTCAAAATCTACAGGTCACAATGTAATTGACATACATACAGTTACACAGAGATATGAAGAATATCACCCTCTAGTCCCAGTCACCCAGTCTTTCCCAAAGTGTGCGATAACGCCCCCTTGTGTGCGCTGCAGGTCTCAAGTTGCGGGTTATAGTAAAAGTTTCCTTTACAATTCTCCGTTAATATACATATATACGTCACAATAATTAATTAATTTAATTTGAAGTTATACTGGTTTTTAAATATGTGAAAATATGTGGGGCGCTAAAAAATATTTATTCTCAAAGTGGGCAGTAGACAAAATCAGTTTGGGAACCACTGCTCTAAGTCAATACCTTACAACGATTCTCCATTACGAAATTGCGAATTCTAAAGACTAACGGACTGAAGTTTTTGTTAATATACACATTTTATTATAATTTAGGAAGCTACTCGGGATACTGTAAGCGAGGGCAACTGCCGCAGTCGGCGCGCAGTGAGGGGCGCTCGTTGCGCCGCCCGCCCCGACACACGCGCTTGCGGCAAGGGACAGTGTTGCCAACCTAAGCGTACTAAAAAGAGGAAGGTAACATCATAACTTTGCAACACTAATACTATAAACCAAGAGTTAGGAACCATAATAAAGTTATAGTCTTATATGAACAATTAGTTAGGATAACTTCGTAAGGAATTTTGTGTTGCGCTCAAAATATTGTATACAAACACAAAACAATTAAAATTCTTCGTATATATGTGCAGATTGCATCGCGATGTTTTCCTTCACCGTAATAACGTCAGATAAACATAAATCAGTACATGGCAGAGATCGAATCTATTCCTATGTATTACAATGTCATCTACGTTCCAGCCGTACGATACGATTATATTCGTGTTTCAGATACGCCTCGTCTGTGATGACGGCACACGATACACCAAAGAAATAGAAATAGTACGTAAATGCGCCTGCGGGAAGAAATGCGGCAGGACCTCGCCCTTCCTGCTCTAAATATGACCAAGACCAGTCGTGGTCTTGACTAAAATAAGACCGTTTGCGGTCCTAATTACATCTGTACTCAATAACCCCGTAATAGTTACTCTTATAACCTTAAAACTATAGCAGATTTCGCTTATTTATAATAATATCAACGAAATTACCAATAGACAATAAATATTCAAATCTTGACATCATCTGTAAATTGTCACATTCACGAAAATAAAAACAAAATGGCGGAATAATTTTACGTTAGAATATTTAACAGCTTATTGTAATCCTTTCTTTGTTAAATGTCAAACTTTTCGCGCCATTTTTGTTTTTTTTTTAATTTAGAGTTAGCGGTACAAATAAAGGAAAGTAGCTTCGGCCTAAAATGATAGAACTGTAGTTAACGTTAAAACTTAATTATAAACCGAATTAAAAAAACCACAAACTGTATGTCATTTTCTTCGTTAGAAATAATACAAAACTAGTCTTTTCAGTGTTTTTTTTTTAGGTTTTTATAAACAAAATTCATAAAAAAAACAACAAAAGATTAATTTTATTCTTATAAACTTTATAACCAATAAAAAAACGTATTTGTTTTCACTCATACCTAGTTCGTAAAATATAAATTTAAAAACACAATCTTACTAATTTTCTTTACTTAAATTTTAATAAACGAAAATAAATATAGTACAATTATTTGTAATTTCTATGTTTTTTATATTACGAAAATAAAAAAAAATCAGAGGCTAACAAAGCTACAGACACCCAATTATTGGCGGGATTTTACAATTGTCAAGTTTTTAATCTACAACCAATCGTCAACTGTATCCAGCCAGTTTTTAGTTTTTAAGTATTTATAAATATTGAAAATTTATCGATTTTTCGTGACAAAATACTTTGGATGTGTTCATTTATTATAATAATATATTTATTATGATTAGTATTATTAAGAAATATTCTTTTAACATACTTAAATTTTTCTAAGATGAATATTATCTCGAAAACTTTAGTAAATTACGCTGATCTCTATAGATAGGTCATTGATTGAAAAAAAAACATTTGCTTCGTTCCGTATTAACGCGCCTCTTGATGTTCGCTCAACAACAAAATGGCGGAAATCAAAAAGGCACAAAATACTACGGCTTATAACATGTCTATGTATAGAGGTCAGTGACGTATTGTTGAGATTTATTTATTTACATATCTTGCCATGATAAAGAGATAATTGCAGCTGATAGAGATTATTTTAGGTTACTTTTTGTTATAAGGCCACGTATTTATCTTAAAAATCTATCCGACTGAGAATCATTTGTATAAAAACTCATGAAACTAGTATTTATTGCATTCTTTGCTAGATTCAGGCTTTTAGGCTTTATCGAAATGTAAATTAGTAGTTTTAAGACGAATGTATAGGTTAACATCGTAGTATTATAGATATTTTACACTTTTTGTATGCATTCCGTTGTTTTTTTATTTATTTCCTACCGCTTTGGTAGTTTCATGCTTTATGTGAACGCATTTAACGACCTAATTATGTAAATGGACAGTATTAAAGTTCTTTTTAATGAAAAATCTGTCAGAATTTTACCGCCAAAATAATTGCCATATGAAAAAATTCTGCAATTTTTTTTCACATTTTTTCTGACGGATTTTTCTCGAATTTTATAAGAATTAATGTATAAGCTTTATTAAGTTAAGTAGTTAGCTATCAATAGAACAAGTTGCAAATCAACGGCCGCGGAGGCAGCTGCGCTTTTTTATTAAATAAAAAGTAATATTGTCTATGACCTTTATAATTTATTTGATGTAATAAAAGATGTTAGATATTTTCTGCTTTTTATTTTCCATTCCAATAAAATTAAATCGTGCTGTATACGACGGCTTCGGGTCCCGAAGCACAACCACCCTTAAACTACGCGTTGCGAGGGTTGGCGTAATATTGAGATTATATGAAAATCGCACTTACCTCTATGTCCCGTTCACGGCCTGCAGGTGCCTAGGCCTGTCGGTGTCAGCCGAGTCAAAAGTCACTGCCATACAGTCTAAAGGCGCCAGAAATGCTGCAATCCTGATGCACCGCTTTTCATAGAAGCCTCGTTATCGAACCGAACAAAAAAACTTAGGGACCCTGTTCTCTCGAAAGTCGACACATCCGTCCCCTTCCAATGCTGACTCTCAACTCCTGACGACTCACGATTCACTCCTTTCCCCACACACCGCGCCAGACTTTAGCGGTGGGGATTACAAAACTACTCTCTTATTCGTGCAAATAAAAACAAGTCGACTGACCTTCTCTAATCTCGTAACAGAAAATAGAAATTCAAAACTTTTGTTGAAAAAAATATTTTAATAAACTAAATAAAAGAGAACATTCATAATCTTACTATTATAAATGCGAAAGTTTAGACGGATGGATGTTTGCTTGAAGGTATCTCCAAAAAAGTTGTATAGATCACGATGAAGATTGTCATAGATGTAAAACATAGTCTGGAAGAACACATAGACTACTTGTTAAGTTTTTCTGAATTCCGCGCGGTCGCGGGTGACAGCTTTGACAGTTAAAAAACAAAAAGCTTAATCTTTGACTTATGTCAAAGATGAATGATTCCCAACATTACCAGATTGCCACATCAAAATAAAACAGCCGAATAAATTAAAATAAATTTTATTTTAATCATTAATGATAGTATTTTATCTCAAATCTCGTAATTTCCCTCGAGTTTACACTAAGTTTATTTTTTACAATATCATACATTAACGAGTTTTTTTTCAATGAAACAAACAGACAAACAATTAGTCATAATTATAATAATGACTAATTTAAAATATTGCATGTTTAAAAAAATTATTAACTTTTTTTTTTATAGGACAGATGACATCATACAGTATATTCAATTTTTAATTGGGGGCATAGTTATATACCCCCAAGGGGATGTAGACTTAGGGCAGTCTTTCCCAAAGTGTGCGATAACGCCCCCTTGTGGACGCTACAGGTCTCTAGTTGCGGGTTATAGTAAAAGTTTCGTTTACAATTCTCCGTTAATATACATATATAGGTCACAATAATTAATTAATTTAATTTGAAGTTATAGTGTTTTTTAAATATGTGAAAATATGGGGGGCGCTAAAAAAATATTTATTCTCATAGTGGACAGTAGACAAGTTTGGGAACCACTGACTTAGGGGTAATAGATTGACTAACTTTGGGTTTCCGAGTCTAAAATCTCCGTTTATAATGTTATCTCTGTGTTGTTTAAGATAATGATGACGATAAATTTTAAACGAAGTTTCTGGTTTCAGAAACCCAGGCTTAGTTAATCTATTACCGCTACACCCTTGGGGGAATAAATTTTACTATATCCCAAATGAAAAATTGAACATTCTGTATAATGTCAAATTATTGTCAGTTCGCTTTACGTATACAGGATGTCCCAAAAGGTTACGTGTATAGGAAGGGGGATGATAGGGGTGGTCACAAGGGTCACCAGAAAAATTAAATAAAAATTCCCCTCTAGGTATTAAAAAAATTAAAGGGCTTTTTTAAAAACTTAAAAATTTTAAACTTTCAGGGGCAATTTTGTAACCGATGACCTACAAATATTGCTATATTTTAAAAAAGCTATTATGTTATCGTCAATAACCCTTTATCAATATGAAATAAAAAAAAACAATACAACTAGCAAAGATTTTAAAGAAAATTAAAATTGCCCCAGAAGGTGTAAAATTTTTAAGTTTTTAAAAAATGCCATTTATTTTTTTTAATACCCAGAGGGGAATTTTTATTTAATTTTTCTGGTGACCCTTGTGACCACCCCTATCATCCCCCTTCCTATGTACGTAACCTTTTGGGAAACCCTGTATATAAAATGAATTGTCTGTCTGTTAAATCGTTTATAATACTGTATACATAATTTCATATAAAAACCACGTATTATTTTAATAAAACCCATTTTTATAAATACATATTGTACTTATATTCATAAATAACTCATTTTTACAACTACCTACCAAATATGAGGGTAGGCAGAAATATAAGAATTAAACCTAATTATAAATAAATGAGAAAAAAATACCAGAAATTGATCGAAATTTACCATTAAAATTGTGATGTTATTGACAGTTCACTTTTGTTTAATATTTGCCAAACAATCATCATCAGCTCACTATACGTCACCACTGAGGGGCTCGGAGCCTACCCTAAGTCATGTGACTAGGTCATAGTCAATGCTGGCCAAGTGCAGGTTGACTTCACACATATCTTTGACATTCACAGATATGTGCAGCATCACGATGTTTTCCTTCACAACAACATAAGATAAATGTACATATGTAACACATTGGTACATGCCGGGATTCGAACCCAGGACCTGCAGATTACAAGTCAAGTGTTTGACCACTGAGCCACTGATGCCAAACAATACAATTATGAAAAATTTGTGCAAATATTGGACAAATACAATTTTGGACATTTTAAAGCTTTTTTTTTATAGAGAATAGAAGAATAAAAACTAAAGTAATAAAAATATAATTTATTTCATATGAATAGTCAATTAAATTCATAAGGACTTAGAAATACTTAATTATATATACAAATGTCTAGATAATTTCGTAGATTTTTCGATTTTTAACTACCCAATAAAAGAAAATTAACTGAAATTATCAAAAACTCCAAACTTTACTATCGAATTCAAACTACCGAACAATGATACCTCATATACATCACTAACTGAGGGTTTCTGAGAACAAACTATAAGTAAATAGAGATAATATGTTTCAAACGGAGATTTTAGCCTCAGAAACCCACCATAAGACACACAATTACGCTGTAAATTGATAGAGGTAGACGCCAGTGTCAAAAATCCTCTGTGATTTTAAAGTTTTCATACATGCTCGCGATTTAAAAAGGTCAATAATCCGCGTTTCGTCTTAAATCAAGATATAAAAAGAATGTTTGGATCTATTTAAGGCCTTAATTTTATACCATATCAAGTAAAGGGCAGGGCGAGATGGGGCAATCGCCCTGGGCTATAGATACAAAAAGGGCGTCAGGCCACATAAAATACCTTATCTTTGGAAGACTTCGGGGCGTCCATGAGAGTCCATGTGAGGTGTTTAAGGGTGGGAGGGGGTAGAGTCAAATCTCATCTAATCTTACGTTTGAGAGAGGGGGGGGGGTCCCGGCAAATATCACGCTATTTTTTTTTACAATAACAAACCAACGTGTTAAGAAATTCATTTTTTGAAAAATCTCACGTAAGATTGGGGTTGAATAAAATCTCACGACATCTCACCAGGAGCAGAAAGAGCAGAAAATTACAAAAAAAAAACATCTCACGTAATTTATGGACGCCACCTTCCTGACACCAAAAAAAACCCAGAACATCGGAAATACTAGTCTGCTTACATCTTCAATATACCACCACTTATATAACCTCTATACATAGACTTGCTATAAGACGTAATATTTTGTGCCTTCGCCATATTGAAACTAAGTGATCCATCGGATTTAAACTTATAATAAATAAAATTAACAAAGATAAAACTGTCATATCTAATAACCTGAGGGTGAAACAAAATTATTTTACTCTGAAGCAATTCTATAACAAACTTCACTATCACGTGACTTCATCATCAGCTCATACATCCCCACTGATTGTCTCGTTACCCTAAGTGTAACTATGTGATAGTGAATGCTGGTCCAGTGCGTTTCACACATATCTTTGACATTCACAGATATGTGCAGCATCACGATGGATTCGAACCTAGGAGCTACAGATTATAAATCAAGTGCTTAACTCCTGAGCCACCAACGCTCACGTGACGTATCCAAAGTTCAGTATATATTTTTGAAGTTCGTTATATCACTTTGGAAATGCTTCATCTATGATGGCTGACTACCTCTACGGGTAGAATCATCTATATTCCGATATATTAAATGATGAGTTGAGGTGATGTGTGATGTGGTGTGATGTGGGGGTGGGGGTGGAGGTGGGCAGTGCTAGCAGTGCGGCAGGTAGACGTCCGCCTCGAGACGGCGCACGCGCACACGCTGCCTGTAGTGATACTCCTTGAGGAATGATCTCAGCCGCGCCGGCAGCGGCAGCTGTTCCACACCTGGAAGATTACATTACGATAATATATAATACCTACATTCTTAAATATACATATAAAAATCTGTCAAGTTTCATATATATGCTAACTAAAGGAACGTACACATACTACGTGACCTACGTGACCCCTCCCTCCCCTCGATAACCACTAAGTACATGCAAAGACCCCCCCCCCTTTAGTTTTATTTTACTTAGTAATTCATAATTATGATTTTCAATCATTTCACAGGCAAAAATTGAAAAAAAAAACAAGTAACGAGTACGTGACTAAATGCGAATGTTTAGATGTTTGTTAGAAGATAACTTCTATCTCCAAGATAATGTTACGCCGATACACCGGCACAGTGTCGGATTTTCTTCCTAACATACAAGTAATAAAATTGTCATATCTATATAACTATAAAAATCTCTGTCTGTATGTCTGTCTGTAAGTTTCATTTGTTCCTGTATATCTCCAGAACGGGTGAATCAATTTGAACAGGACTTTAACTGGAAGGTAGCTGATGAAGGTGGCCATGTTTACCATCATATGTTGTGTGTGAGACGATGACAGCTCTCGCGAGCTGCTGCAGGGAGAAGGGCTCGGTACGAGGAAGAGGCGCCGTCAGCATCGGCTCGAAGAACATCACACAAGCTGGATCCTGGAATCATTTATTTTTATTATATACTAGCTGTCGCACGCGACTCTGTCCGCGTTGAATGAAAAAAAATAATAAGTTCCTGGCTATTATTCTAATTTTTCTAACATTTCAAGACCAAGATAAGATAAATCCGTTCCGTTCTCGTGTTTTAGCGAGACGAACGAACACCCATTGATTTTTATATATAGATAAAATAAAAGCCGATATTTTGTTATTTTTTTAGAACATTCCAACTAAGATTTATACTTGTGCTAGGACATAGTTTACGACATCGAATAGGAATCGAACCCCCGACCTCGTGATCCGTACCCTTAACCATTAGGCTATTGACTTGATATTAAAGAAAATTCATACATAAAATGTATTACAGTTGTATAGGCCAACATGTGTTATTCTGGACCTCGTCCTTTACCGATATGCCTGAAAATTGTTGAGGAGGTAGCTTAGAGCCAGGAGACGGACATAGGATACTGTTTATGCATTTTTTATTCGAATTTATGCCTTGAAGAACTGCTTTTTATTTAGATTATCTATATATTAAGTTTTATTTTATATCCACACGGACGGAGTCGCGGGCGATAACTAGTTATAATATAAAAAAACATAATCAAATCTATACATTAAGATAGGCAATCTCACTAATATTTCGTTTTTCATGTAATTTAAAATTTCCGAGGTTTTGTTCATATGTTATAAGAGTTAGAGCAGTCAAGATATGTGAATACTATTATACCTTATAATGTTCAATCAATCCAGTGACTGTCGGCGCTGCGAAGACAGCTGGATCGTGCGAGTCAAAGCTGAACCTGTGCTGGTAATGTTCGATGCGCGCGTGCAGAGAACGTCCGTATTTACGGAACGATACAGAAAATAGATGTTCCTCTTGCGCCGAGTCCCGGAGTAGGAAAGTGCCTGCAGAATACATGGTTATAAGTATACTTCTATTCATATATCTTGGTGGCTCAAGGCGATAACCCCAACACAATTAACCATACAACTTTATAAAAATATATGATCACTATAAAATAATTTTTAACTTTGTTTCTTGCTTTTCTTCAAAAAATAAATCATGCCCACAATAAGGGTTAACATTGTTTCGTCCTCGAAAGAACTTCGGAGCCGCCGAGATATTTGAAAACTATTATACATAGGACATTTTGATAATGCAATACTTTAAAAATAAATTAAAATATCAAATTAAATAAATTTAATTCCGCACGAAATAAAAAAAAATTAACAAGTAGTCTATGTGTTCTTCCAGACTATGTTCTACATCTATGACAAATTACAGCAAGATCCAGCCGTTCTGGAGATATCTTCTAACATACATACATCTAAACATTCGCGTTTATAATATTAGTAAGATAGCTTTTTAAGATAGTACTTTGTTTTCAAAGAGAATAGAACGTAAAAGTCAGTCTGCATTAAAATTCCACTGTCATAGATCCTTGTCAGATTTAGCTGAGCGCTATTCTGACAAGTATCTGTGTGACACACACGTCACCTTCAGGCTTATTGTCCAGCAGCCGCTCAGCCTCGTAGCGGTCCATCTTGCCCCAGTAGAAGGAGCACGCGGTGATCTCCTGCAGATCCGGCACCAGGCAGTGGATGTAGTCCACCTGGAACATTACGAGTTAAGAAATTAAATTTTGTAGTTAAATAAGATGTTTTATAATATAGTTAAGTTCAGTCAACTAATTGTAGATAGAGGCAAATGCATTAAAATCAAGGCAACACTAGCGCCACTGCGGCTGTCGACTTCACTAAGAAACGTGACGTCAGCGCCATCTGCCGGCATTCCATGTGTTAACACATCAGCCGAGGGTCCACAGCGAGACACTTCTCCTGTTGCCGTCGACTACAACGAACATTAAACTATCGCACATTACCTACGTTATTATTTGAAAATTAATAGTTCACAATGAAACCTTCATAGTTTTGTACAGTTGGAAATACGTTAACTCTTATCGTTTGACTTCTTAGTTCTATACATACCTGCGTGTGAACTTTAGCGGGGGGTGTTAATGGCACTAGGGGTGCGAGGGGTGCGAGCGGGGCGAGGGGGGCGTGACCCGTGTGAGGGAGGGCGGGAGCACGCAACAGTAGTGCCCTCAGCTCTCCACCGCATACCACCTGGAGACAGATTATTTAACTTATAAATGCAAATGTTTAGATGTATGTTAGAAGATATCGCCAGAACTGTTGCACGGATCTTGATGAAATTTGTCATACATATAGAACATAGTCTCGATTAACATAATAAAATTTTCAACATTTTTTTTTAACAAACAAACAAAATTGCAAACCAAAGCTAGTATAAAATACTATATTAATTATATAACAAAAACATATTATATTTTTTTTTCTTAAGAAAACGTCGATTTTTTTTTTATAAAAATGTTTCGATAGTATAAAATGATATTAAAAAGCATCATAAATCCTTTAACTCACTTGGAAATGTGGATGTAACCTTATGGAGCCATCATTTGCTGTGGTCAGTTCATTTCTATGACATTCTTGTACTGTTTCCGCTTCTCTGTAATATAAAATAGTAAAAAAAATCGATATACAATAGAAAATATAACAAGAAGATCAAGAAACATACACTTTTTTTTATATCATAAGGTGGCAAACGAGCGAGCAGTCACCTGAAATCGCTGAAATAGCGAAGTGACCGTTGCCCATAGACATACGCTATTGCATAAGCGTTGCCTACCTTTAAACGACGGAGAAGAGGATGCACAGAGAGAAAATATTACCCTTCCCATGCATCCTCTCATCGGGAAAGTCCACTTCCACTTCCCATCCTTTCCTTATAAGTAAAAGGGTGGGAAGGGAAAGAGGATTAAAGTAGGCCTCCGGGACACACAATCATCAGACTGTAGTTGGAATAGCTTCCACTTGACGCCTGTCATCTATGTGGTTATCATCATGTATATCACCGGGCGAGTCGGGACAACTCCTAGGTTCGAATCCCGCCATGTATCAATGTGTTACATATGTACATTTATCTTATGTTGTTAGTGTGAAGGAAAACATTGTGATGCTGCACATATCTGTGATGGTCAAAGATATGTGTGAAACGCACTGGACCAGCATTCACTATCACATAGTTAACTTAGGGTAACGAGACCCTCAGTAGGGACTTATGAGCTGATTACAAATGTATACTCACGTTCTCGGAGCAACAGAGAGAACATAGACTTCAGCGTTTGGTTCTATTTCTCTTGTTGATTCATTATCTGGAAAAAAACATAAACAATTAATTAAAAAGTTATAAAAATAAGGTTTTTAACTTAATACTATTAACAAAAAGACACAAATCAAATTGTCACTAAATACATTATACTAGTTGTGGCACGCGACTCCGTCCGCGCGGAAAAAAAAACTTAGTAGCCTATGTGACATGTCAAATTTTATGGGATCTGTTTACCAGTTCTAAAGATATCTTTTAACATCCATCCATACATCCAGAGTTAGAGAAAACATAGAGAATTTGCCGTCCCTGTTTACAAATATTCACTTTAACTGAGACTTACTTATAAAACAGACAGATAGACATTATTGTATATTTTACCTGCATTTAAGACAATAGCATCTAGTTCCCGTCTTAAATCTCTCGCTCCCAAAGTCAGGACGGCAGCCAATCTGAAAAAGTAAACAATCAAATATATAAAAAAAAAATCGGATCCCCAGGGGGCGGAGTTACACGGTTACAAACATAACCAAAATTATACAGACGTATTGATAACCTTCTCCTTTTTGAAGTCTGCTAAAAACTAAAAGCCAATAAAGCTTTTATTAAAAAAAAAGGTTACTTTTTTTTAAAAATCCTATTTTAAAAAAAAGTAACCTTTAACATGCTTCGGACATCAATTTCCTTGAAATCGCTTAGGAGCGAATCCATTTTGTCTATACCCCTCAAATCATACAGATTGAGTCATTAGAACATTTGTCTCAACACAGATTTCATGCCTACAAGTCCTATATCATCTATTCCTTGGACAAATCCCTCTCTAGACTAACCTGTCATCACTGACTCTTCTATATGCCGTGCAGACACATGCAGGCCTTCGCCACCGACGTCTTCTGCATGCGCACTCCCGACCATTCCATCTGTAAATACCATTGCTTTGATAAACCACACCCAGAGATGAGTAATTTACAGTTTTTTTTTATTAGAAAAGGGGGCAAATGAGCAGCGGGAAGACCAAGATTCATCAACGTTCATGGACATCTGGAATACCGGAGGAACCCCAGATGTGTTGCCGGCCTTTGATATGATACGGTCGTATCTTGAAGGACCTTAATTTCACAACTTAAACTTTTTTATAAGATGACAAATAAACAAGCGAATTGAATTCGCCAAAATAGCGAAGCGGCTTCTGCATATAGCAATTGCTTATATTGTAATTTCTTTGATAATTAATTAAATGTTATATTATTAGGCTCATATAACTTTGAGTGAGCAAGAGTGTTGTTGGCACAAGGCGTTAAGCTCTTGCAAGTCGAAGGTTCGAATCTCGCCAAGTACTCTGCTTGCTGTCTTTGTCGATTTAAATATCTACACGTATGCGCCGTTATTACGGTGAAGGAAACCATCGTTTCACCACATTCAAATATATGTGTGAAGTCAACCCGCTCTGGGCTAGTCTTACTATGACCTAGTCACATAAATTAGGGTAGGTTCCGAGCTCAGTGGGGACGTATAGTGAGCTGATAACTATACCTATCAGTAACAGCGCTGACATATCTATGCACGCTGCTGGGTGACTCCGCGTACCGTCGCCTGTCCCACGCGCCGCATCCACAGCTGCACTCACCACCTACACACGGTACTATGTATAATGTATTATAGCTCTTATATACCTGGTTATTTTGTTATATTATAAAAAGGAAAGATTTCATTATATTGAATAGGCTCTGAAACTATTGAACGGAATTGAAAAATTCTTTTATTATAGGTATATTGAAAACCCTAGTTTTTAACATAAGGTGGCAAACGAGCGAATGACTACCTTAATTCGCCAAAATAGCGAAACGACTGATACTCATTTACTCGCAATAGCAATAATGTTGCCTACTTTTAATCGATGTTCCCACACAGAAATAAGATATTCCCCCATCCTTAGCATCCCCTACTCCATCAAATCTGCTGCCCCTTCCCATCCTTTAAGACGAATAGATTGGTAAGGGGACTAAAATTAGGTCTCCTACAGACTACATTTATTACTAGATTTTTTTTCTTTTCGGACATACACAAAATATATTTAATAAAGTAAAAAATAATGGATAACTCACTTTTCCTAGATGTCTGTTGTCCCATTGTGCTAACTCTTGTACTATGAGAGGTTCGTCCAGCGAACTACCATCTGCAAACAAGCAAACATTATTGCACAAGAGATTTTTTTTTCATAACAGAAGGGGGCAAACAAGCAGGGGGAACACCGAGGTGTTCAACGACGCCCATGGACATCATCAATACCCGAGGAACTGCAGATGCTTTGCCGACCTTGGATAGAACTATTTTTAGGGTTCCGTACCTCATAGGAAAAAAAACGGAACCCTTATAGGATACTATGTTGATGATACTATGTTGGCCGTCCGTCAGTCAAGACCCATTTTTTTATTTCCAAACCAACTTGATAGTAAGTGGCTATGTGATCAAAGGATGGTACACACTAGTTTAGTAAATATCAATTCACCCTACTCTTGAAAGCACTCACATTATCGTTAGATGGAAAAACTGACGCCATCTACTAAACAAAAGAAAGCCACACATGGCTGATAAATTTATATTAATAAGAATAGAAAGCTTTAACCCATAATTCGATGGTGTCCAGTGTGACGAACAACTAATTAAAAAAAATCTACAGTACTAGTTTAGAGAAAATTACGTAAGTATGACTTTACTAAAAAAACAGGTTTTTTGTTACAAAAAATTTCATCAAATTAAAGGTTAAATAGCACATGAAAGTTTCTTTTTAATTTCAAGTTCATCTTATTATCTTACTAATATTATAAATATTTATTATAGGGAAATGGATGGATGTTTGATTGAAGGTATCTCCAGAACAGCTCAACGGATCTTGATGAAATTTTGTATACATGTAGAAAATAGTCTGAAAGAATATATAGGCTACATATATGATTTTTTTAATTTTAGTCAGTCATGTAAGACAGTTAGTAATGTTAAACTGATATATAAACACGGCTAAACACTGACATACATTCGTACGGTGGCAGCACCAACTAGTTTCGAGCCCATCGGGGGCCCTTCATCAGGATGAGTGGTACCAGTATTATTTCGCAGACGCGGCCCGTCGCTCAATGAGCGAAACTAGTCGGTGCCACCACCAGACGAATGTATGTGAGTGTTTAGCCATGTTTATATATCTTATAGTTTAGTATAATGTCTCACGAAAGTTTAAATAATTTAGTTAGTAATGTTATATCTCTGAAAATTTGTTGCTAACGATATTCATATTGATGCAAGATGACTAATTTACAGACAACAGCTAGTTAATTCATAATTTTGGTGACTAAATTGTTGATTACATGTTTCAAACACAATTACACTGTGTCACAACTGTTCTAATAAACTCAATTGCAGTCATACACAATAATTATACTAATTAATGTACAATTGACTCATTGTTAGAATAACTACAATTGTTTAATAACAGGTTATGACAATTTTTACAACAGTTTTACAGAACAAATATAGTAATTATGCTTTTAATCTCATCTAGGGTAAACAGAGACTGTATTCAACTTGAATTGACATCACATTGACTCTAACCACAGTCATTGTCCAGTCCCAACAGTCAACTTTTATAAAGGACAAAGTGGGGTTAGAGAGAATCCTCTCATCATCTCCCTGACTTGATCCCACTTATGTAGTGTCGACACACCAGGTGTACACAGAAATCTCTATAAACAAGAAAAATATTAGGGTCTCTAGGACTCTTGCTTATCCAAGTTTAACTTTAAGTATTCAGACTAAAAATAACACATTCTCATAGGCCAGAGTAGACTTAGATGTGCGGTCTGGATTTGGCACACCACGCTAGCTTCCACATTCATACATCCGGATATGCTCGTCATTTACAGGTGCTCAACTCTTTTTAAGTTCGGTTTAATGAATTTTAAAGTTAATTTCGACTCGAATTTAAACTAAATTTAGGATCTTCGAGTCACAGATTTGAGTAACAGTTGTACTATAGAATTTTGGTTATATTACAAACCGTGATTACCTGGAACATGTTAAATAGGTGACCGTCGTACCACTATCGAGACAAGTTCAGACAAGTTTCTTAACCTCATCTAATAGAAAAACATCACTTATGAATTGAAATTAATATGTATTTACTGCTAAATTACTTATTAAAGCCAAGATTATAATTTAACAAACTAAACTAATAATTTGAAAAAGATTTGACGCAAATATAAACAAATCTTATGTAGACATCCGCCATCTTGAAACTTAAATGCAAAACACCCCACATGAAAATTGCAGTACAAATCATTATTAAATGCACAAAAAAATTGTTTACTTACGTCTACTTTATTTTATCCCTGTTATTGTCTAGCGACGTTTAGTGTAAGTTCAATTATTTTCTCGTTTTCGCCTATTTATAGCATAAAGCTAGATAAACACTCCGCACTTCACATTAACACTAACTTTTCATAAAAAATCGTTTCGATATTTACATGGAATTACTACAGGTGCTATTTACACATTTACAAAAGTAATTTACAATTATTTTTAGTAATTAGCACGCAACCAAAATACGCAATTCCTACGTCTCTGTGACATTTTTATTTATCACTGTTTCGTTTCACGCTTTGCAGTTTTGAGAATTTTCAAAATCGTTTTAAGAACATTTTTCAAAGAAAAAATTAAGTGGCTGTTTTAAACACAATTCATAATCAAAATGAAAACATTGTGAAATAAAATCTTAGTTTTCCACATTATTTAGGATAATTTAATTGCACAGAAGGTTTATTTTATCAGGGCCGAAAGGTTTATTTTTGAGTGTGTAGAAACGTTTCATTTGACATTTTTTTTAAGAAACAAAGGAATTTGGAACACTCTGCCATCGCAAAGTGGAAAAAATCTAATTTAAGAACTTTTTCGTTCTTCTTCTGCAAGTTAATAACATTTAATAACTTAAAAATCAAATGTTTTCACAGTTACTTTTATTCTAAGCTAATTTTATTTAAGTAAAATAAGATAAGAGCACAAAATATGTACACATGGTGCTACAAAAACGTGTATTGAAACATCAATGGTCGGCGGACAGATCAGAGAGGTCGCCATTTTGTTAGCTGTTTCTTTTCCGTAGAAATTCTTAGAATTTTCACGTGTTTTAGTTTATTTAAAGGTTATATGTGTTAGTAAAAATAATGTCTAAGAGAAGAATTGAAGTTATGGATCCTTTCATTAAGAGGAAAAGGTGTGTATCCATATATTTACAACGTGTTAGTAATGCCATGCTTTTTGTTATTTCCTTTGTTTTTCTAATTGCCGCTAGTTGTAATGTTAGTTTTCTGTACAAAAAATTGAAAATGATTTCTACTGTAATTACACAGGACATATTGAATTCATACGCCATTGTTGCACCGCATTTTCTTATATGTCAATATTTACAATTTTATATTTTATTAAACTCTTTAATAATTAGAAACTTTTACTCATTTAATATTCTAACCACATCGTTTTAAATCCAAAAATCAATTAACACAATAAAAACTTATAAAAATGTTGACAATTACTAATTATTAGTCAGGCAATAATATTTATTAAGCTCTCTTATCTTAAGATAATCTGATATCTGCTAGTTAGCACATAGTTTTGGTTAGAACATAACTATGACCCAAATATGATGGAGAAACCTTCACCTTATACATTGTGACTTATAACCTATATAACCAGTGAAACCTGGATAAGAAACCTTTATAAGCTAGAATCATTATCTGGTCCCAATTGACGACCTTCAAGAGCGAAAAACAGTTCAGACAGAAATTCTATAAACAAAAAAAATATCCCTCTTCCCAGTTCTTCCTTAGCCATGTTTTACCATAGTTACTATATTTATGCATATACAGTAGAACGGCTAGATGGTGTATCAAACATGATGAAGATCGTGTTACGCATTAAGAAATGTATGAAAACATGTCTCAAGTTGCAGGGACCTATGTAAAATGTTGAATGCGAGAAATATTAAGTGTGATCATATTAATGAGGTCTTACTGTATATTAGAATTTGAATTTTAAAAAATTAATGTAATACTAGCTTTTGTCCACAACTGCATGCAATTTAAAACATCTTAATTTTGTGCTCTTGACTATTTTCTACATCTATGCCAAATTTTACAGAGATCCATTAATCCATTCAGGTGATTCTAACAAACATCCATCCATCTAAACTTTCGCATTTATAACAGTAAGATAATATAATTAGCTGTCACTATTATCGTAATATAATAGTTAAAGGGTGTCATTTAAACCCACAACCAATAGTTTGTGCCACTCATTGTTAGGTTATTGATGTTATAAACCATTGTTTATTTCTATTGTGTTATAATCAGTTTCCGAGACTAAAATCTCTGTATAAAATCTTCATCCCTGTCATTATCTCTAACAAAAAAGAGATAACAATATGTTTTTAAACAGGGATTTGATATCAAAAATCCACATTTAGTCTTTTTAAATAACTTTGCTGCCAAAGGCCACTGGCATGCGCTTTACCCATACATGTTAGGTACACATATGTGAAAAGATTTAATGTAGGTTGCTATAGTTTCTGTGATTCTACAACTAGTGCATATATCAATTGTTAATATTTATTGTTTTTAGGGAAGAGAAGGCAGCAGCAGCTGCAAAAGCAGGTACCACAAGTGACACATCAGAAACAGCGAGCACCACAATGGCTACGGTACCGCAGGCTACTACTAGTACGCCAGGAATAAACCCATATACAGGTTGGTGGAAAGACATGGATAAAATAGGAAAACTATAAAGATAGTGATCATTATTATAGACTACCAGCTGTCGCCATTGACATTGTCTGAGCGAGATAAAAGCTAGATTATGGCCGATTCTCAGAGCTAATGAACATGTATAATATATAAAATATCATATAAATTGGTCAAGCCAGTTCGAAGGTGTATAGTACATTGTGACATAAGAATTTTATATATAAGATGGAGCTATACAGTTTTAAATAAAGACCAAAATCTAGTAAAACCTTTTTTTGCTGCCGCTTTGCTATTTCAGCAATAGTAGGTGGCAGTTCGCTCATTTGCCACCATATGTTATAACAAAAATCAACTTCAAATAACAATATTCATACAACTTATCTTACTTATCATACACTTACAAGATGAGATGATAATAAAAATGCTTTATTGGATAGTTTATTCTCTCTTAGATTCGTAATTTTTGTTATTAATTTCTTAAACAATTATTTTCCAGGTCTGCCACATTCCCAACGGTACCATGAGTTGCTTCGACGTCGACTCGGACTTCCTGTATGGGAGTATAAAAACGACTTTATGAGATTGTTAAATACCCATCAATGTGTGGTATTGGTTGGTGAGACTGGTTCCGGAAAGACAACTCAAATACCTCAGTGGTCAGTGGAATTTGCTGCGGTTACTGCAGGGAAGTCAACAGGAGTTGCTTGTACGCAGCCAAGAAGAGTAGCAGCTATGTCAGTAGCACAGAGAGTTGCGGAGGAGATGGATGTAGCGTTGGGCCAACAAGTTGGTTATAGCATTCGTTTTGAAGATTGTTCCGGACCTCAGACGGTTTTGAAATATATGACAGACGGTATGTTGCTAAGAGAAGCAATGTCTGACCCAATGCTCGAACAGTATAGAGTAATTTTACTTGATGAAGCTCATGAAAGGACCCTTGCAACGGATATCCTGATGGGTGTGTTGAAGGAAGTGATCAAACAGAGATCGGATTTGAAATTAGTTATCATGTCCGCAACATTAGATGCTGGAAAGTTCCAGCAGTACTTTGATAATGCACCGTTGATGAATGTACCAGGTCGAACGCACCCCGTAGAAATATTCTACACGCCTCAACCTGAACGAGACTATTTAGAAGCTGCTATACGAACAGTAATACAAATTCATCTATGTGAGGAGATTGCGGGTGATATTTTACTATTTTTAACGGGTCAGGAAGAAATTGAAGATGCATGTAAACGGATAAAACGAGAGATTGACAATTTAGGTCCGGATGCTGGTGAATTAAAGTGTATACCACTGTATTCTACCTTGCCGCCTAATTTGCAGCAGAGGATTTTTGAACCGGCCCCACCTAATCGTCCTAATGGGGCAATAGGACGTAAAGTTGTCGTCTCAACTAACATAGCCGAAACTTCTCTAACTATAGATGGTGTAGTGTTTGTAATAGATCCAGGATTTGCTAAGCAGAAAGTGTACAATCCACGTATCAGAGTGGAATCCTTACTGGTGTCTCCGATCAGTAAGGCATCAGCTCAACAAAGGGCAGGTCGTGCTGGACGTACGAGACCGGGGAAGTGTTTCAGGCTTTACACGGAGAAAGCTTATAAGAACGAAATGCAGGATAATACGTATCCGGAGATTCTGAGGTGATTGGATGACACGGTTTTGTATATGGGTTTTTTTTATTTATTATCTTAATAGCTATCGCCCGCGCGAGATTAAAAAAAAACTTAATTAGTAGCCTATGTATTCCAGACTGTTCTGCATTTATGCCAAATTTTAACAAGATCCATGCAGCCATTTTGGAGATACCTTCGAACAAATATCTATCCATCCATCTAAATAAACATTTGTATTTATAATATTAAGTAATATTTAAGCTATAATTTTCAAATTTTTTGTTGTTAAGTAAGGTATGTGTGAAGTGATGCACTGGACCAGCATTCAGTGTGACATAGTCGACTCAGGGTAGGCTCCGAGACCCTCAGTGGGGTTGTATAGTGAGCTGATAATGATGATTTCTTTTAACTAGTGTTAGGTGTAGATAGTGTTAGTAAGGATCTAATGCCCTGCCCGCATTGCGTTGCAGATCAAACTTAGGATCTGTAGTTTTGCAGCTGAAGAAGCTGGGTATCGACGATCTGGTGCACTTTGACTTCATGGACCCGCCAGCTCCGGAGACGCTCATGCGTGCATTGGAATTGTTAAACTATCTCGCTGCACTCGGTAAGCTGTTCTAAAATAAAACTTAATTAGTAGCTTATGTGTCCTTTTGGTATGTTCTATATCAGTGGTTCTCAAACTTATTTTGTCTACTGCCCACTTTGAGAATAAATATTTTTTTAACGCCCCCCATATTTTCACATATTTAAAAACCACTATAACTTCAAATTAAATTAATTAATTATTGTGACCTATATATTTATATTAACGGAGAATTCTAAACGAAACTTTTACTATAACCCGCAACTTGAGACCTGCAGCGATAGGATAGACTGTTCTATACAAATGCCAAATGTTACAGAGATCCGTTAAGCCATTCCTTCAAACAAACATCCTTCAATCCATCTGAACATTCATATTAGTAAAATGAAAACATATTTAGTCATTTGCATATTGTGAAACCAACCCGCATTTGGTCAGCGTGGTTGACTATGACCTAATCACCCTTAACTTAGGGTAGGGTCCGAACTCAGTGGGGACGTATAGTGAGCTGATGATGATGATATTGTGAAATTCACCTGTTTGTACACCTAGTCAAATTTATAGTCTATACACTCTTATACAAAATGGTGTATCATTTATCCATAAATTTGCCTATAAATTATTTCTAATTATTCTACAAATATCCATTTGTATACAGATGACGACGGCAATCTGACAGACCTGGGTGCTGTGATGGCGGAGTTCCCACTTGACCCGCAGTTAGCCAAGATGCTGATCGCAAGCTGCAACCATAATTGTTCCAACGAGATTCTGTCCATCACGGCTATGCTTTCCGGTAAGATCTCTATAAGGTTATAGGATCGAATGAAAAATTTAACAGTGGTAGAGCGAGCTTTAACATCGCACGAATTGTCCCGACTCGCCCGGTGAAATACCACGACCACACAGAAGACAGGCGTCAAGTGGAAGCTATTCCACGTACAGTCTGATGAGTGCGCGTCCCAGAGGCCAAAATTAGTCCTCTTTCCCTTCCCACCCTTTTTCTTATAAGGAAAGGATGGTAAGTGGAAGTGGACTTTCCGGATGTGAGGATGCATGAAAAGGGAAAATATTTTCTTTCTGTGCATCCTCTCCTTCGTCGATTAAAGGTAGGCAACGCATATGCAATTGCGTATGTCTATGGGCAACGGTCACTTCGCTGTTTTAGCGATTTTAGGTGGCCGCTCGCTCGTTTGCCACCTTGTGATATAAAAAAAAAAAAAATACTAGCTTCTGCCCGCGACTCAGTCAGCGTGGAATTTAAAAATCTAATAAGAAGCCTATGTGTTCTTTTAGATTTTGTTCTACATCTATGCCAAATTTCATCAAGATCTGTTGACCCGTTCTGGAGATACCTTCTAAGAGACATACATCCAGTCATCCATCTATCCATATAAACATTCGCATTTATAATACTATCTGTCGCCCGCTACTCTGTCTGCGCGGATTTAAAAATCTTAGTAGCCTATCTGTTCTTCCAGATCATGTTCTATCTCCATGACAAATTTCAGCGAGATGTAACTAACATCCATCCACCTAAACATTCTCATTTTTATTATTAGTAAGATATAATTAAATTTGTTGAAAATTACTTTTTTTTTTAGTTAAATTTGACTAAAATATTTTTATAAAATATGTTAGCACAATTTTAATTTGGTTTCCGATCGTATTTGAACAGGTATTTTGTCTTAAAAAAATATAAATTGATATATATATATATGTCATGTTTCAGTGCCACAATGTTTTGTTAGACCTAACGAGGCTCGTAAAGCAGCTGATGAAGCTAAGATGCGTTTCGCTCACATCGACGGAGACCATCTTACATTGCTCAACGTGTACCACGCGTTTAAACAGAGTAAGTATACCATTTATATATGTGATAAGATTTTAACAGTTTTAATTCTATTTCACTTCCCACCCTTTTCTTATATGGAAAGGATGGTGAAGTGGCCTTGGCGGAGGGATGGGATTGTAATGGATGTCTCGTCCCGTGTGTCCCTTCACCCGTCGATGAAATGTAAGCAACGCATCTGTAATTGCCGATGCTTCGCTATTTAGGCAAATTTATGTAGTCATTTGCTAGTTTGTTATATAAAAATGTATTCACAGATATGTTGTCTACCTTTAATAGACGGTGGAGAGGACTGTAACAGGATATTTCTCTGTTAAATCCACTTACCCTTCCCATTTTTTTCCTTATAAGAAAAAGGTGGGAAGGGAAAGAGGATTGAGTCCCGTGTAAACAAGACAAATATCTCGATCCTTTGGGCTCTCTCTTATCTCAGTTTGTGTGTATGTATGTATGTATGTATACAGATATGGAGGATCCCCACTGGTGCTATGACAACTTTATCAACTACCGTTCACTCAAGTCCGGCGATAATGTGCGGCAGCAGCTCAGCAGGATTATGGACAGGTATGTAGTTTTTCTTTAAATATTAGCAGATTTTATATTTACTAATATTTCTTGTGCTAGGACATGGTTTACAATAGTTGAATATTTGGATTAGGACACCCAACCTAGTGATCGGAAAACCGTACACACACTTAGGCTATTGACGCTTCAGTTAATATATGACAAGTTAGTATGAAGTAGGAGAGTTGGTGGCTCAGGGGTCAAGCGCTTGGCCATTGTATGTACCATGTACCAATTTGTTTTTCTATTTTCGATTTACATATGTACATTTATCCTATATTCTTACGGTGAAGGAAAACATCGTGATGCTGCACATATCTGTGAATGTCAAAGATATGTGTGAAGTCACTGCACTTGACCAGCGTGGTTGACTATGACATAGTCACATAACTTAGGGTAGGCTCCGAGCCCCTCAGTGGGGACGTATAGTGAGCTGATGATGATGAATATTTTAGATAATGTAGGATATTCACTTTACGATTATTCTTTAAATTTACTTCTTTTAAAGTTACTTGTTAAATATTATATTTTCAAACATTTTTTTTTCTAATATTAATAATATAAAAACTTAAAAAGGAATATGGTAACATACCTTTTGTCTGTGTTTTTATAATTATAAATTTCATGTATGGAGTAAATATTTAAAATATATGTTTTATGTTTCAGGTTCAATTTGAAACGGACGAGCACTGAATTTACAAGCAAAGATTACTATATCAATATAAGGAAAGCACTTGTTAATGGATTCTTTATGCAGGTAAGTTATTATCACCTGTAGCTTATACAACTAAAATTTTGACGAATGAGGTGTCATGAAAGTTGTTCCAAAAGTGTTTTGGTTTTTTTTTTATTAAAAAATAGTGTTGTTAATGCAACTTTTTTTTTTATATCATAAGATGGCAAACGAGCGAGCGGCCACCTGAAATCGCTGAAATAGCGAAGTGACTTTTCGGTGTGGACTTTCCGGATGAGAGGATGCATGGAAAGGGAAAATATTTTCTCTCTGTGCATCCTCTCCTCCGTCGATTAAAGGTAGGCAACGCATATGCAATTGCGTATGTCTGTGGGCTGCAGTCACTTCGCTATTTCAGCGATTTCAGGTGATCGCTCGCTCGTTTGCCACCTACTGATATTAAAAAAAACGCTCCTGTCTCCATGACTACAGGTTTTTGTTTCTATAAAAAGAACCTCACAATTATAATTAAGAATAAAGAATATCTGCAAAAAAAAAAACGGATTATATCAAATAATATATTTAAATGTTATTTGTTTCCAGGTAGCACATTTGGAACGTACAGGCCACTATCTGACGGTAAAGGATAACCAAGTGGTGCAGCTGCATCCGTCCACCTGCCTCGACCACAAGCCCGACTGGGTTATATACAATGAGTTTGTACTCACAACAAAGAATTATATACGCACAGTCACCGATATTAAACGTAAGTATATACTTACTAGCTTAGGAAAACTTTGTAGTCTATGTTCTTCCAGACTATGTTCTACATCTATGTCAAATTTCAGCAAGATCCATGCAGCCGTTCTGGAAATACTTTCTAACAAACATCCATACAACTAAACTATTATATACTATAATATTAGTAAGATTTAAAACATTAACTGTACTTATTTAAGACTAAAATGGGATTAATTTGCATTACGATAGTCTCTTTTTATTCCACAAACTGCTTTCAAAGAGATTCAGTTAAATTTTCTGAAAACATACAAAGAAATAATCGAGAAATGATATAAAAATGTTTCTTGTTATACAAAATTCAATATTTTGCATCTTCCTAATTCAGAATATAAACATTTATGTTGTAAAATTGTTAAAAAATACTTACTTTTTCTATTTTTTTCAGCGGAATGGTTACTCAAAATAGCACCACAGTACTACGAGTTGAACAACTTCCCGCAATGCGAGGCTCGTCGTCAACTCGAGCTGCTGCAGGCCAGGCTTGACTCCAAGGCCTACCAGGAGGGCTTTTAAACCTAAGTACGGAAGACCTATACAAGTGTTGAAGTGAACTAGTGCAGTGATAAACTTGAGTGACATTTTAAATATCAAAATAGTGTCAGTGTAAAGACAATTCACGTATAAAAAAGGTAGGCAGAAAACACAGATTTTGGTGCAATACTAGCACAATTGATAAAGAATGAATTAAAAACAAACACTTTAATTTACATATAGGTTTTTACATACACCTATGTAAATAATAAAGGCAAACAATAATTGAAAACAGCTATTTAGTATTAAAATCCTTACAAAGTTATGTTAACATAGTTAAAGATGCAACGCAAATGGTCATAAATTGATTTTTATTTATTAATTTCCATTTAGATTATTTCCAAAAGCTAGATTTATAACCTAAAAGTCAACCATTCCTAGAACTGTTTAAGTTAAAACATTTATAATGAACTAGCTGTCGCCCGCGACTCCGTCCGCGCGGAATTAAAAAAAAACAATTGGTCGCAGCATAATGTTATATAGCTTAAGGCCTTCCTCTATAAATGGACTATCCAACAAAAAAAGATTTTTTCAAATTTTAACCGCTACGACATAGGGTCCTTCAAGAAGCGAGCTTATCACTAACTCAAAGGCAACACATCTGCGGTTCCTCTGGTATTGCTGATGTCCATGGGCGTCGTTGAACACCTCGGTGTTCCCGCTGCTCATTTGCACCCTTCTGTTATAAAAAAAAATCAGAACAGTAGTTCCTGAGATTAGCCCATTTAAAGAAATTCTTTCGCTTTATAATGTTACGTAAAGATGAAATTACAAATGGGACTAAAGTTACGCGTTTATATTCCCGTCGACGCACCTCACGTAAAGCCCGAAACGGATTCTAGTTTGCTTAATATAAACATAGCAAGGAAGACAAAGCAAATCCGTTAAATCCGTGCGTACTGTACGGACCAACGGACGCGTTAAGTTGACTAAAATGATAAATAATAAAGTTAAAACTGTATAAGTGAAAATCTAAGGAACTGGAATATTTTTTTCACTTATACAGATTTCTCTCTGAGTTTCTGGTTTAAGGAAGTTGTCTATCGGGACTGGATTTATTATCCACAGTTATGGAACAATTTCTTAATGTATTTGGGTTTTAAATTCATTGTCAAGTCTTCTCCATACAAAAATATTATATAATACACATTAAAATTACTGAATATTTTGAAATACATTTTGTATGATAGTTGCTCCATCTGTTGCATAATTATAGTAAAAATTAATAATTTTAGTATGTTTAGAAGAATGCTAGAATTGATTATGTAAAATTAGTATTAAATATTAGCATTTTAAGGGGAAAATCTAGCTTAAAATATGACTAATACGATATGGTTTAGGATTTATTAAAGATACAAAAAAAATGTAAGAATAGAGTCGGTTTGTCAAAAGAATATGCTAAATAAGCTTTCAAAATATACAAAATGTCTGAACATTTATTTCAAAGATATAATTTAAATTTTTTTTATAATTTTCTCTCATATAGATGTTTAGCATTGCCCAAAATATTACATATAAAATTGTATGTTTGTCTTCTAATTATATGGATTGTTTTTTTTTATATTTCCAACATATTAAATATGTCTTTAGCTTATATTTAAAGTTAATAATAATTTCTTGAAGTTTTTTTTTCGCAAATCTATGTGTTTGTACTCATTTTTAACTATATTTAGGTAAATACAGTCCCGAACTGATATATAAACACGGCTAAACACTCACGTATATTCATCCGGTGGCACCGACTAGTTTCAAGCCCATCGGGGGCCCTTCATCAGAATGTGTGGTACTGGTGAAGGGCCCTCGATGGGCTCGAAACTAGTTGGTGCCGCCACTGGACAAATATACGTGAGTGTTTAGCTGTGTTTATATATCAGTTTAGTATAATGTCTCATGAAAGTTTGAATAATTTAAAATACAGTCCCATTTGCCGCAGATTCCAATTTCTTTTTGTATTTGATTTATAACATACTAAATAAAAATGTATTTTATTTCCCTTCCCACCTGTTTCTTGTAACGGATTAGATGAGGTGACTATAAGAAAGGGACATCCTCTTTCTGGGTCCCCTCCTCTGTCGATTAAAGGTAAAAAATGCTAATGCCTGTCTATAGGCATGATTTTGTTATTTTGGCGAAAGTAGCTACTTGCTTCCTTCCTTCATATAATAAAAAAAAATTATGAAGAATTTTAACTAACTAGTTATTTTATTTCTAGTTTTTGAGATAGTAATAAATTCTGTATATAATTTTATTAAATACATGTGTGTTGGTGATTATGTGGTCGAGATGGACCTCCGGTCTCCGGGCAGACAACTGGGCTTTTGATCTTCGGAAATAACTGAAAATTCAAACTGAAAGTTGAAGAAATATAACATAGAGGAGTTTATCAAGACCACTTATATTATAAAAGGTGTCCAAAAAATGATATTTCCTTTGTGTTGTAATTTTTTATTATGAAATCATAGACTAATGCTAAAATGTAACATGGTGGTGTATATCTTTTGCTTTTAACACATGTACTCAACATT